CCATGTACATGTATTTGAAATTCGGATCAAAGACCTCGGTGCAGCCCCCCGTGGCAGTTTTAGTGGCAGACGCGTGCGAGGGCATCTCACTTCCTGTAGTACCGGTTGTCGTGAGAGTAATTTTCCCTTTCTGCAGTTGGTTGCTCTGCGATGTTAAACATGAAGGCAAGGAGAAAGAGAGAGAGAGAGGGGAAATAAGCAGGGGCGTGCGGGCAAAGAAAACTTTTACCCTCGAGAAGCATACCAGACGCACGACTACCCTTGCTGACATTATGGGGAGGACAAAGCAGGTGTTAAAATAGCCGCGGGAACATCCCTCTATGTTTGTGGGCGGTGATACTTGTTCACATGACCATGTTTCGCCTCCCCCTTTAACCCCAACACACATCATTGACAAGATACCAATAGGAAGCTGTGAACGGCCAATCCCCTGCTCGGGGAAAAAATGCACAATACAAGTAAGAAAGTTGAGAAAATACATTTGCGTGAAGTACCAAGGGAAAACTGGAGGAGGTGTTCGTTTTACGAAGAGAGAGGCGATAAAAGAACAAAAAACTACACAATAGTAAAGAACGGCGCCACACACACTCCACCTCGGCGCATTGCGGCAATAACAGTGGGAGAGTCAATGATCAGTGCTGAGATGTCATCAGCAGACAAATAAAGCTATTGAAGAGACAGATTCTTTAAACACGGAAAAGATGTACAAGGCCAATCAAACACATAATTGACTCCTGCGAGATAAAAAAACAGGCGCATCTACATGATTCGAATCGATATGCACTCCACTATTTTATACAATCAAATCTTCTGGGGGCATTTAAACCAATAAAAAAAGCCACCACGCTTGGCAAAAAGAAGGAAAGCATCCAGAGAGGAAAGGCCTCTTTTAACCACACAAGGCTAGAGACAACGGTATGGATCGTGACGGTAAAAGCGACCACGGCGTTCGTCCAAGGGACGGACAGCACTGGTGGCTTCCGGTGCATCAATCACCTTACGGCAGCCAGGGTTAGGTGACAAGAAAGGCGTAACATCCTTGCTATTCCCACTGTGGCGCGGTCCCTCACTACTCATTGTTGACGGCGTGCTCTCCTGTGCCCACTGAACAGGCGCTGCGTCAACAGGCACCGCCATCTCCTGTTGCACAACGCAGCAGGCCTCCTCACCCAACATTAGGGGCATCTGCACCATGGCATTTTGCTTTTGCGGGTAGAGGTGCTGTTGCTGGTAATTGTTGTCCACCCTCGATGCCCCATTTTTGGAGTGATTTGACGCACGCTGGCGGCGTTGGCGGCCCAGGGCGCGCTTGAAGTCTCCAGAAATACTCGGATCTACGCACACAGCATGAATGAAGCTGCAGCTTTCGCCACGAATGCAGAGATGGTTGAAGTAGTAGTGTGCGCAGTGTGATAGTGGTCGGGCCTTCCCCTTGGAGGGCGGAAGGGCACCTTGCGTCACAAGAATGCGTTCGCTTGGGATCCTCTCCGCGGGCTGTCTGTTGTTCGGCAGCAACACGTCAAGCTCACATCCGGGCGGAAGGCGGCTGTACGTGCACAAGTCTTCATGACGCCAGATGTAATTCGCATGAACCGGCTGCGCCTCCAGCGTCTCGAAGTCCACGTCGGCATGAACAAAGCGGCACCTCTCTTCCTTCGTACACGAGCCCTCGTTACCAGGCACATAGTTACGACAAGCAACAAGGCGAGAAACACCGAGTCGCGCTGGTGTTGGTGGCGTGTGCACCACCAAGTGCGATGGCACCATGTACATGTATTTGAAATTCGGATCAAACACTTCGATCATATTTAATTCCGAAGCCATGGAGAGTTTGTCTATCCCTGTTTTTTTTTGTATTTTTGGCGGCACACTATTTTGTGTTTGTTGAAGAGAAGCAGAAGTTACGAATTGCAGAGGTGACAGAAGGTGGGGGTTTATGCCCGGTTCTGGTTGAGCCAGTGACACCGACATTCTACAGGTAGAAGATAAGAGTAAGTGAGAATGAAGCTCGCAGCATAGGGGAACCAGGAAAAGATGGCGAGGGTACAAACGTAAGAGCAAGAAAAATTGTAATTCTGGGCTTTCTCGTCTCGTAACTGTTTCTCGCTGCTGAACAAATTGTGCCATTTCAGTTTTTGCGGTATTACACTCATAGCGTTTTAATATGTTTCTCTTATTCCTGTGATATGCCGCCCCCATCTGTAGTGCTTCTTCTCAGTTGCGGGGTTAACAGATTGAAGAAAGGAAGATAGGGGGTAGGGAACAAGATTCTCTTGCACATTGTGCTGTATTCCTATCTTTGTTTGCGTGTGTGTCTGCCACACCAAAATACTGGAAAGAAATGTAAGATAAGGCCGGGTATAAACAAGCGAAATCAAGCAATAGTCTGATTGTAGGATGTGTTTACAATGGCTTCTCTCCCCTTCCAGAATAGTTGCTGCTTCTCCGACCTTACACATCACGCGCTCTATAAAACAATTAGCTTAGGGGTATCTTTTCTCTGAAGCAGACTCCGTCCAAGCACTACGCTTTGGCATGAAACGCAGACCTTATTCCTTTCCGTCGCATTCTTTCGTGACAATCACTGTTCTCACTGCTAATAGATGTATGGGCAAACGTTGAAAACAATCGCGTAGGATTGTGTCAAAGATAAATCTTTTGACAAAATTAAACACTGTTTGGCTTTGCATTGCAGGCTCTCCTGTGTGTTTATAATGAATACCGACAGAACGAAACCACTTTGTCGCATGAAGGCACGCAGAGCACGAATTCGCCTGGTGCCTACAATCAGAAGCATACATATACTTACCAAAATCTGTAGTCGTTACCCGGGCTGTGATCACACTGCAAAGAAAAAACCCTTTGGTCAAAGTAGCCTCTCTTTTTTTTGGATATAAATA